AATAAAAATAAATAAATAAATAAATAAAAATAAAAATTGAAATATCACAATAAATAAATAAATAACATAAAATAAAACATACATAATTGTTTCTAAATAATATCTTGAAATTCGGCTATTGTAACTGCCACGCCTAACCTCAACAAGCTTCCCAAGAAAAGATTATGAGACCAATTAGGGCCAAAAAGGGACAAAAAACATGTTCAAAAATGGACGGCGAAATAATACACAATAAATTATAAAATGATTTTGCTTTGTCAAAACCTATAATGTTAATTTATAGATATGGGTGGGATGGACATCCTTATTCAAGAAAAGCCACATATTTATCTCAATAAACAATAAGATAGGACGTATCTAGTCAATCGACTAGTTCAATCAAAAATTGAATTCGATGGATCAAGTTTCCTTTTTATTAGAGTATAATTTTTATTTATTCATTTATCTTTAATAAAGTGCTCGTGATTTGAGCTCGAATTGAAGATTTCTCTTTTAACTATTCTAGAACAATGTTCAATTTAAAATTGGAACAATTGCATCATGGATTTAAAAATTATCTGAATAAAAAACCACTATCTAATCTTTAAAATGAACGTGTTAACTCTCTACATTTCATTACAGTTGCATAATCAGTCCCCAATAACAGAAAGCATGCAATCTCGAGTAAATCATCACATGGTCCTAAGAAAAACATGTATCACTTCAATTTGTAGGTACCAACTCAAATTGGTAAATAAAATATGGTTTCATAAAGTTGAAGGTGCGAGAATTCATGACGATTTAATAGAAATTTGGATAATTTCAATAATTGAAGAATAAATATGACAACGAAAGCTTGACAACTTCTTTGTCCCGTTCTAAAAGTTGGAGACAAACTTGCTACTACAACAATAGATTGAGGACCAACAATGCAAATTATTAAAATTTCAACAATTAACTAAATAAATCTTCTTATTATGGTTGATTTAATTTAAGTATCCAATTTTGATTAACTTTGGTGGTTGCCAATGACCATCACAATCAATTTAATAATTTATCATTTTCCAATGAGTTTAAGGTTAATTACTTTTATATTATAATTAGGCTTCACCAAACTTCTTGACAAATTAAATATCAATTAAAATATAAAAGGCAAATATAAAATTCAATCCCACTTGCCATCTTATCAATAATCTATTTGTGTAAATAAATTAATCAATCACAATCCATGTGATGTGATTAAATTAATGAATTAAAATTAAAATTACTCACCAGAATGATAATTCAATTAATTATAAGTCAACCATGTAATATAATCTAGGAATTCAATTATAAATAATATAATTATAGGTGAAAATGATTTTTTTTTTTTTTAACTTTTTTCTAAAATTATGATACAATTGGATACCTAAATTTTACTTTATTTCATTTTTACTAATTTCGTGTCATAGTAATTTATTACGTGTACGATAACTAGCTGTTACTCAAAAAAGAAAAAGAAAAAGAAAAAATTACAAACCATTGTAATATTTTACCAAGAGAATATATTATTTAAAAAATGAATAATATCTATTTAAATCTCAAATTTTAAATAAATGTATTTATAAAAATATTCAAATAAATTAATACTTAACGTACATATGCATTAGATTTGCATCAAATTTGATATTTTAATTTCTCCATTTTCTCATATAATAGAAATATCAAATAAATTAATTTATTCAGCTATGGGAGAATGAAAAATCATGCAATTAGAGAGAAGTATTGTGCAAGGGTTTTTGGTAATCAGGAGAGAGAAATTTAAGCAGGGAGAGAAATATGGACCATTTTAACTGAAAAAAATTTAAAAAGAATTCGAAAAGCTACTATTTTACTGCCTCATTGGCTCATTCTAATGTCCATTATTTTAAAATTGGTGTGTTTATTTGACAGGGAGGCCCTAAAAGTAATCCCAAACAAAGCATAAGTTCGTCGTACCAATTGGAAAGTAATAATGGCACGTTTGGTAAGGTAAATTGAACGATATTGAATAATATATAAAAGAAAAATATGTTAAAATTCTATTTGTATAGTATATAATCCTGTCTAGTTCTATCCTATGCACGTAATATGCCATAGTAAACAACAAAAGCAATACAAATTATAACTTCGAACCATCCCAATGGGTTGGTGCGATCTGCAAGACGAGGATAGATAAAGAGAATCAGACAACAACAACAATGAAGACATTAGGAAAGTATATTCCGGGATGTATATTTTGCCTATAAATAAGAAAATACTAAGGGTGCGTTTGATTGAAATGATGGAAAATGGGTGAAAAGAAAATGAATTCCAGGGAAAGTAATTATTTAGAAATTGTTTTCCAGGGAATTGTTAATTAAGTGTGTTTGATTAGGGCTGTCCGTGGGTCGGTTCGGTTCGGTTCTGAAGATACCCGAACCGACCCAAAACTTTCGGGTATTTAATAAATGGACCCGTCGGGTCCAAATATAAATATGGAACCGTTCGGGTTCGGTTCCGTGAGAGAAGTATTGTGCAAGGGTTTTAGGTAATCAGGAGAAAGAAATTTAAGCAGGGAGAGAAATATGGACCATTCACAAGTCAAGACAGGATTAAAATCGATATTTTAACTGAAAAAAATTTAAAAAGAATTCGAAAAGCTACTATTTTACTGCCTCATTCTAATGTCCATTATTTTAAAATTGGTGTGTTTATTTGACAGGGAGGCCCTAAAAGTAATCCCAAACAAAGCATAAGTTCGTCGTACCAATTGGAAAGTAATAATGGCACGTTTGGTAAGGTACATTGAACGATATTGAATAATATATAAAATAAAAATATGTTAAAATTCTATTTGTATAGTATATAATCCTGTCTAGTTCTATCTTATGCACGTAATATGCCATAGTAAACAACAAAAGCAATACAAATTATAACTTCGAACCATCCAAATGGGTTGGTGCGATCAGCAAGACGAGGATAGATAAAGAGAATCAGACAACAACAATGAAGACATTAGGAAAGTATATTCCGGGATGGATATTTTGCCTATAAATAAGAAAATACTAAGGGTGCGTTTGATTGAAAGGGTGGAAAATGAGTGAAAAGAAAATGAATTTCAGGGAAAGTAATTATTTAGAAATTGTTTTCTAGGGAATTGTTAATTAAGTGTGTTTGATTGGTATAATTTTTCACCCGAAAATTTTTTAAATTTTGTGTTCGTTTGACTTTATTTTAGATGAAAATTATTCATTAAAGTGATAATTTTTTCTACAATTGGTTATAAAATTTGTTTCCATTGCCAAAAAAAAAATTCCTACAAAAATCATTTCTTTAATCAAATTTTAGTGTTCGTTTGACTTTGTTTTACATGAAAATTATTCATTAAAGTAATTTTTTTTTTACAATTGATTATGAAAATTGTTTTCATTGTAAAAATAAATCAGAAACATGGAATTACATTTTCCGACCAAAATCGGTGGGAAAATGATTTCCCTCATTTCAAGGAACTTGGGCGCGTGCGGGAGGGGGTTGGAATTTTTTTTTGCGTAGAAAATTTTGCTCATCAAACATGCCAAAACCTAGAAAATGGAATTTTTTTTTCAACTTCCCAAGAAAAAATGGCTTATCAAACATGGCCTAAGACTATACGAAACAAAAACAAGTCAATACAAAAATATGATGAACATGATTGAACTATGTACAATGCCAACTTAGTCCTTGCCTTTCTTAATATGTTCCTATTTATTTGAACATACAAATACTACACAAAAATCCCACAGAACTGTCTGAGTTCCCAGTCGAACCAAATGGAAGCACTAAAGTCCAACGATAAAGCTACTTTGTCAGAAGGATTTAATAGAAAACTTGACATAATTGTATGTGGCAGTAGATGATTGGATAGAAAAACTGACTATGTTTTAAACCGTTCAATAATAAAATACCACATGGCATTACGTCAAACTTTATGTCATCTTTGATGTGCATGATTCCAAATCCAATTGTCAAACATCAGTATAGATTCATACAAAAGACCTTTCTGGGTTCTTATACCAACAGTTGAATCTTTGTTGTGAGGAGGTTTATTCTGGGAATCTAGTGACCAAGCTAAAATGATTCGTCACCACAGATGATGGAAATACTGATCTCTTCTACAGGAATGGTCACTTAATGATTTAAGCTAATAAATATTGGTATAATGTTGTCCACCACTACAATTCAATGGAGGGAGTTGATCCAAAACAGGAGGAAAAGCGAAGTCCACTGACAAAAGTACGACCTTAGCCTTCTCTTCTTCATTTTTTGTAGGACCCACAATTTACTACCCACTTATTATCAACACAATCCATAGAACTCACTACTTAATAGTACTTAAAAGCAATACCAAACAAGCACTTTAACCTATTGCTTGATTTGGTGGTGACAAGCATTTGTCACCAATCCGTACAATCCATCACTACATCTAAAAAATGCAATTTAATCGACTTTATATTGGTCCCTTCTCAATGATCAGTTGGATTTTTTTGCCTGCTCCTAATACTAAATTTGAAGATACGTAAAACACAGAAGACAGACAGTACTTCTGTTTTAACATCCCAAAAAGCTTGTAAGCAGGGATTTATACCTCAAAAAGGCTCCAATAAGTATTCGTACAAGAGTTCGCTTAGATCAATTCATCAAATGCAGTGCATCCTCTACGATCAGTAACTCTGGTACCAACATCAGAACTAGCTTTAAATAACACTACATGCAAATGAATAAGCATAAATGAAGAAGATCACCATTACAGCATGGGAAAACCAATTCTTACTAGTATAAAATGAGAAGGCATAAGAGTAAGAAACACGTTTGTCACAAGTCTAGACTGCATAGAAATAAGACCAAGCAAGAAAATTACAGAAATCAACTTAACATCAGAGGTCATAAGATTGAAGTTCAAAATTTATTAACTTCATGATATCAAAGAGTGGATGGTCGACTAGCACAATATCCAACCTTTTTACTTGATCAACTCGGTGTTTTCAGCATCTCCAAGCTGTCACAGACATGAGCTCATGATGCTGCCAGCATAGCACAAGTGATAATTGCCGCTTCTCCACACGAAATCCTTTAACTTGGCTTCTCTTGACTACACATTCAGCTTGTGTTTCGGCAATGTTGCTGATTGCCGTGTGAAAGAAACCGGCATAAGCAAAATGGTTTCTCCATGGGGGCATCAGGTTGGGGGCATGAAGGCGCCCCAAAACAGTGCTTTCAATCCTAGGCTGGAATAGGAACTTCTCGATTTTGTTAATGGAATCTGAAGTCATATTAGTAGCTTCGATAGAGATCAGTAGAGCCTCGTAATACTGAAGCGAGTTAAGAATGTGACTCGAGAATGGGAGATCAGTTCGATCACATCCGCGATCAAGTGTGACCAATATTTTTGGTGACAGTTTTTTTATAAAGCAAAGATGTGATGGAAGAACAGACAGGTGACTTTCCATGGACCAGATAGGGAAATTCACAACAATGGCCTCACTTTTCGATGATCGGAAAGAGGATACCAAATTAGAATTGGGGTCAAAAGAATCAATATTCACTACCTCAAGCTTAAAATTAACATGAAGCTCATTAGCAAACTGTGTTAAATTTTCATGCATGAGGCTAAGCTCAACTGAATGATGGGTCGAAGGAGAAGCAAAGGCTGTGATTTTCAATGAAGGTGCCCCCTGATCACCCCTTGGAAGATCTTGCATAAAAGAAGACCATTGAGCACCAAAACCAAAACCAATATTAAAATCAATAATATGAATCTCTTCAGCATTATCAAGGGCTTCAAGAATAACCTGGTTGGCCGTGAAATTCATGAACTGGACAAGGGGTGAAACTTCGGAGAAAGTCTTATAAGCACCCATCTTGAACATACCATCAAATGGAGTGGGAATCCTCGGTAGAGGGGTACCCAGGTTGGGCATTAAGAGCGCTAAGTGCAAAGCCTCCTTCAAATAAAAAGCAGTCCTTTGAAAAGGCTTCCCAACTAGAGAAAGCACTTGATTGAGCCGCGCCAATATCCCTTGCGCGTTGGAGAAATTTCCAGCCATTATCAACTCAGCCGCCTTGTAGAGTTGATCATTTATGACATGTTGGTGCTGCTGCAGACAGTGCGGTGCCACAATTTGCTCCTCACTGCCGCAAGATACCTCCTGCTTCGGCACCAACATTGTCTTCTGCTGAAGCTGATGCAGTGGAACAAAATTAGGCTGCTGGCCATAACCCATTGACGTCTGCTGCATTTCGAACAACTGTTGTTTCCTCAGCAACAACTCATTACACGGATCAAGAAATGGAACGATCACATTCTGAAAGCCTAAATCAAAATCCATAGAACCGGGGTTATGACAATTTGGTGGCGGCTGGAACTGGTGTTGCTTCTCTTGTGCACTGACATACATTGAAGGATTCAAGTTCAACGAATGCAGATTTGATGCACCTGGCATCTGAAGTTGTTGTAAACCAACATGTGGGCTACAAATCTGAGCCTTTTGCTCTAAACTTCCATGTTGTTGATTGGTAAAGCTCATACCATTAGGCAAAGATAGCAAATGTTTACCATTGTTATCATTCAAAGAAAACCCACAACCAGACAGGCCTAAAGCAGAAGTATTCAAGTTTGAAAAAACATTACCAACTGGTGAAATGGCTGAATCAACTGGTGAAAACCCGCAACCCACATTTTCCTGTGTCTCATTCGAGTTTCCTGCTTGCCAAAAATGCTTCAAGCTCAACGAAGACTCGTCGACATCTCTGGTCGAAATCCACCGGAGAAGAGTCTGGTCTTGGCCTACTAGAGATTCAGACAACAAGTTCTCCCAATCTTCAATCCCAAGATTGAAATTTTCAGAAGCCCCATTAGTCAACTCCAAAGCAGTAGCATTATGTCCAGGGTCCAGGTCAGCCACGAAGTCAGCTTTCCCTCCACCGTCCTCAGTGGCGGTGGATAGGGCCGCAGCTCCTTGTTGGGTGGTGGTGTTAAAAGAGGAAAAAGTGGATGTGGAAGTGGAGGGACTTGGACTCCTTGTATCCAGTACAGATATGGGTTCATAGTTTGTAAAGCTTTCATCTTTCTTGAACTTCGCCGCGGTTGAAGAAAAGGCACCGCCGGCAACTTCAACAACACCTTTACCTTGCAAATTCTTGTTATAATGCATTCCAATCATCTAAAAATCATCATATTTTAAACATAAAAAACGACCCAAAAAATTTAAAATCTTAAGAAAAGAAGAGGAACAAGTGGCAAAAACAAGAAATTTCAAATTACGTTACTTGCCTTTTCCTTCAAAAAGGGTTTTCTGCTCCTTACTTTTTTCCAGGACAAGAAATTTTTTGAACAATTTTCTCAATGAAAAATCAAAGCCATGGATCTCTTCAGAAAACCGGTTAGCCCAACAAAAAAACTCTTATCTCCCACCATTCTTTTCTTGTCCTTTTGAGCTCCATTTCAAGATTTCCCCTCCATAATATTCACCTTTTCACCTTTCTCTCTCTCTCTAGACCAGGTGTTTTTCTTCTTCTTCTTCTTCTCGGCTACAGTATTGTTGTACACTTAGGCCCTGTTGTGTCGTGGATGCTTGTATTGTGTCAATAAAAGTGGACCCGTCTGCTCTCTCTCTCTCTCTCTCTCTCTGGTCTCTATCTTTTTCTTTGCCCTCTCTCTCCAGATTTCACTTTTATCCCTTTCCCAATTTTTGGTGTTGATATCTGTGTTTTTACATTTTTTTACTGTACTTTACTGTGCCCACCAATCTCCGCAGCCCAAAAAACAATATTTATATAAGAAAAGTTAAAAAGGGAACAGTGCAAAATTAAGGTAGTTAGAAAATGCAATTACAAAATTAACAAATATGTTTTAAAATTTCAAAAAATAGATCATTAAATATATTAAAATCACAATTCTAAACAATTTATGGTCACAATTACTTAGTAGTCACAATCATAAAATGTATATAGTCACGAATCACAAATTTCATATATCACGACTTGTTTATTAGACAAAAATTATTAAATAAATGTCACGCATTATTTCTCGATCATAAATCACAAATTTTATAGGTCACAAATTATTTATCGATCATAAATTATCAAATTAATATATCACGTATTATTTATCGATCACAAATTTCAAATTTTACAGGTCAAAATTTATTTATCGATCATAAATTATCAAATTAATAGGTCACGTATTATTTTTTAGTCACAAATTACAAGTTTAATAAGTTACAACTCATTTTACGTTTACATATTATCAAATTAATTGATCACAATTTAACACATTATGAGTCACAATTACAAATTAGTCTCAATCTCATATTTTTTAGGTCATGATCACCAAATTAATTGGTAACAAATATTCATTATCCCACCTCACCCAACCCCACTCCATCGAACGAATGCCACGCCACCTCACCGCCACAGGTACCACAACCAGTTATGACCACTACCACCATCATCGCCAGATCCAATACACAACTATGAAAAATCACCTTAAAACCTCCGCCAAAACCCCCAAAACATGGAAACTGCCATCGTACCACCACTACCTCCACCAACACTTGAACAACCAACAAATACCAACAGAATAGAGGGAGAAACAACAGTTTTATTTTCCACCAACCATCACCAACAAAAACTGTTAGGTTTATATATTGTATTAGCGATTCTGTGAACAAAAGGACCAACTTGAACGATTATAAAAGTTTAGAGACTAAATTGAAGTATCATAGTTGGCAGGTTAGCTTAGGGTTTGGGATTTCATGTTTGGAACAAGAAGGATTCACGCCGATTTTTCGCTAGCTGTTCGCTAGAGTCATACTCGAGCGAAAGAAGCAGGAACATCCTATCTTGACCTTCGCCCCACTGTCACTCGAGCGACAGACCCTTAGCTCGAGCGAAACATCCTCATCGCTCAAGCGATGTATTTATTCGGCCAGACCTAATTTCAATTTTCGAGACTTTTACTTGACCCATTTTACCTAAACCGTCCAACCATTAAATAGAGGCTCCGCATATTCTACGAAAGATAGATTAAACGTACTATTTTCTAGAGAGAATTCATCATACACAATATCAAAATTTCAATCCTTCAATCATATATGCGCTCATCATATTGAAAACATCAAATCCATCAAATCAAAAATCGGATTGCATTCTTCTCTTGGGTCTGTCAGAAAGATTGTGTCGTCAACTTTGCTGCATTGAAAATAAAGGAAAAATTTGAAGAACGAGGAGTTCTTGGGAAGATCTACATGAGATAAACTACGTAAAGAGTCAGAATTGGAGTTTATGTGCTCATTACAGGAGGACTGCTTTACAAAGAAGAGTCAGGATTGGTGTTAGTGTGCACATTTCAGGAGGGCTGCTTCAAACTTCAGACAGGAAATTAGAAAGTTTGTGTCGTCAACTTTTCCGGTAGTCTGTAAGTTTATCAAAAGTTTATAGTGGATCTTTGACTAGTAAAGTATCCGGAGTTTTTCCCGCGTTGGGTTTCTCCGTGAACAATTCTGGTGTTGTTTACTACTCTTCTTACTGTTTTGATATTAATATGATATTCAAAAATAGGACTAATTGAATTGTTTGACTAATCACCTAGACATAATTAACTTGTGACTTGTTGCTTGTTGATTAAAGTTCTAATTCCGCATTTACACCTTACCACCCCCTCTAGGTGTAGTTGGGTCGAATCTTGCGTTTTTTCAATTGGTATCAGAGCTTAGTTTCGATTCCTGACCCTTATTTGATTTAGTCTACATGAGTAGTTCTCTGTCTGTTCCGACATATTTTGATGGTAGTAATTATGCTTACTGGAAAGTTCAAATGAGAGCTTTTCTTAAGGCATTGGATGAACGTATATGGATTTGTGTGCAAAATGGATGGACTCCGTCTACAACGACGGTTGCAAGTGTAGTTACACCCACTGATATTTCTTTGTGGACCAAAACAAACTTGGATAAATGTAATTGGAATTGTATATGGCTGTGTCTCTTGGGAAATTTAGGAGAGTGTCAATGTGTGAGACATCTAAGGAAATTTGGGACATTTTGGAGACAACCCATGAGGGTACTAAAATTGTGAAAAACTCCAAATTGTAAATGATGGAATCTATCAATGTGGTGGTTGATGATGCTTGTAGTGAGGGAGAGATTGGTGAAGAGTGTGTAGAGCGGGAACAGTTGGATGTTGATCCCCCCACAAACATCAAATGAGTTGATTGTTTCAACTAAGGATTCTACTTCTGATGATGAAGCTAAACCACCTAAAGAACCTTCGTCCAGAGTTAAATTGAATCACCCTACGGATAATGTGATTGGAGATATAGAAGAAGGAATGAGACTTCTCAATAGGGTTTTGAACAACCTGTCATATGCGAGTTATGTGTCTCAAATTGAACCAAAGAAGGTTGAGGAAGCCCTTAGGATAAATGTTGGGTTAATGTTGTACATGATGAGTTAAATCAATTTATTAGAAACAAAGTTTGGGACTTAGTGCCTAGGCCTGATAATGCTAAGTGGATATTCAAGAATAAGACGGATGATCAAAGTACCATTACGAGAAATAAGGCTAGATTGGTTGCTCAGGGATATACTCAGGTTGAAGGTGTTGATTTTGATTAAACTTTTGCACCGGTAGCTAGGCTTGAATCTATTAGAATTCTTCTTGCGGTTGCATGTACCTTTGGTTTCAAACTGTACCAAATGGATGTCAAGAGTGCTTTCCTGAATGGTATTCTTCAGAAAGAAGTCTACGTGGAACAACCTAAAGGGTTTGTTGATCCAAAATATCCTCACTATGTGTACAGGCTGAATAAAGCCTTGTACGGGCTGAAACAAGCTCCTGGAGTTTGGTATGATCGGCTTACTGCATACCTCCTGGAACATGGTTTCGCAAGAGGTGGTACAGACAGAACCTTGTTTATAAGACGAATTGAGGATACCATCATCATAGCTCAGATCTATGTGGATGACATCGTGTTTGGTTCTTCCGTTGATTCACTTGCTCATGAGTTCGCTGAGTGTATGAAGCAAGAATTTGAGATGAGCATGATTAGTGAATTAACGTACTTTCTTGGTCTTCAAGTTAAGGAGACTGATGAGGGATTGTTTATATTTCAATCGAAATATGCCAAGAATCCTGTCAAGCGGATTAGGTTAAACAGGAAGAAACACACTAGAATCCCTATGAGCACCAGTATCAAGTTAGGTTTAGATCCTACAGGTAAAAGTGTTGATCAAACATTGTATATGAGTATGATGGATAGTTTCCTTTACCTCACTGCTAGTAGACATTACATAGCATTTAGTGTAGGAGTGTGTGCTTTACCTCACTGCTAGTCTGCTTTACCATTTTCAAGTCGTTTTCTGTTTTCGATTTTCCAAAACAATGAAAACATTTTCAACAATCTCAAAATGAACACTCAAAACACATAATCCAAAATGAATTCAAAACTCAAAATACAAAATTAAAACACAAAGAGAACAACCCTAATTTATGAATAGTAGGCTTAAGTGTAATTTCCACAAGTTAAAACGTAGGTAAATATCATTTTGACTCTTGGGCTTTTTATTGAATATTGAATTGTTTTTTAACCATTTTTTAAAAAAGAATAACGTCCATTCTAAATATGGTAACAGTTTTTACTTATCTTAACGATAAGTAGAAATTATATAAAGGAAGGGATTGTAATGAATTTGTTGTGAAAATATTATTAAAATTGGAACAAAAAAAATGGGGAACAACTGGTTGTTGATCCCTCACAAACATCAAATGAGTTGATTGTTTCAACTAAGGATTCTACTTCTGATAATGAAGCTAAACCACCTAAAGAACCTTCGTCCAGAGTCAAATTAAATCACCCTAAGGATAATGTGATTGGAGATATAGAAGAAGGAATGAGACTTCGCAAGAGGGTTTTGAACAACCTGTCATATGCGAGCTATGTGTCTCGACCAAAGAAGGTTGAAGAAACCCTTAGGGATGAATGTTGGGTTAATGCTATATATGATGAGTTAAATGAGTTTGTTAGAAACAAAGTTTGGGACTTATGCCTAGGCCTAATAATTGCAATGTTATTGGTACTAAGTGAATATTCAAGAATAAGACGGATATCAAGGTACCATTACGAAAAATAAGGCTAGGTTGGTTGCTCAAGGATACACTCAGATTGAAGGTGTTAATTTTGATGAAACTTTTACACGGTAGCTAGGCTTGAATCTATTAGAATTCTTCTTACTGTTACCTGTACCTTGGGTTTCAAACTGTACCAAATGGATGTCAAGAGTGCTTTCTAGAATGGTTTCTTCAAAAAGAAGCCTACGTGGAATAACCTAAAGGGTTTGTTGATCCGTAATATCCTCACTATATGTATATGCTAAATAAAGCCTTGTACATGTTGAAACAAGCTCCTGGAGCTTTGTATAATCGGCTTACTGCATACCTCATGGAACATGGTTTCGTAAGAGGTTGTATAGACAAAACATTGTTTATAAGAAGAATTGAGGATATCATCACCATAGCTCAGATTTATGTNCACGTTCTCTTTCCTATTTTCGAAAATGCGTTTTTAAAAATAAGTTAAAATTTACAAAGAAAATACAAAACGACAAATTGGGCATTTTCAGTTATAATCAAGCCAAAATTTTCAAAAAGAGTTTTAAGTGTTTTCAAAACAATTTTTCAAAATGTTAAAAAGAACACATTTTCAACAATCTCAAAATGGACACTCAAAATACAAAATCCAAAATGAATTCAAAACTCAAAATACAAAATTAAAATACAAAGAGAACAACCCTAATTTATGAATAATAGGCTTGAGTGTAATTTCCACAAGTTAAAACGTGGGTAAATATCATTTTGACTCTTGGGCTTTTTATTGAATATTGAATTGATTTTTAATCATTTTTTAAAAGAATAACGTCCATTCTAAATATGATAACGGTTTTTACTTATCTTACCGATAAGTAGAAATTGTATAAAGGAAGGGGTTGTAATGAATTTGTTGTGAAAATATTATTCCAATTGGAACGAAAAAAATAAAAATTTAACGTCAAAGAGTTGAATCAAAGTCGAAGAAGTTAAATAAAAATTAGAGATGCCCGAATACGGAGGTTCAATGGTTATTTTAATGATTTTGCTACTTAAAGTTTTATCCTATAATTGGGCTATTTCCAAGCTAATTTTCAATTTTTTTTAAAATCGAAACATGCAATCTAATAAAAAATGGTAATTATATTTACACAACAAGTTTTTTGTATCTACAACACATTTTAATTAAAAGAAAGGTTTCCTATATTTGCTCACTTTTGCCTTTATTTCATCAACTCGTGGAATTGTCATTTTTAGCTTTCAATTATTTAACAAAATTTGTCTCTAATCGCGATTTTCATCCAAATATTTTATCAATGTGCATTGAAAAGATGAGCAAATATTTTGTTTAAATTTTGTATTAGTTATTTATTTTGGTTATTAAAAATACGAGAGATAAATATGTCATCTTGACCCTCATAACAAACATTTTGGATGAAAATTATCTTTATAGATAAATAATGTGTCATAATTAATAGAGGGTTGATGATAATTTTTTATTTTTTTAAAAAAAAAATTAAGGATATAAATATAAAAATAAGAAAAGTTTAGAAATCTTTATTGTAATTAAAAAAAATGATGTAGTTATGTTATATGAATATATTTACCCATAAAAAAATCGGTCTCACATAAGTGATAATACACTTTTCATTACGCCTTTTTATTGCTAATACAAAGATGTGATACACCATTTAAGCTCTATCTTTTGTTAGGGAGTATATAACTCACTCATCTACAATAAAAAACGTGTTCAAGGTTTGAGATCCTTGACCCCTTATTTTATTTTCTTTGATTAAATATCACAATCACGAGGTTGAAGTCTTTAACAATTTTAGATATATATTGATTTTAAAAATTACATAAACCTCCAATTTTCTCTTCTTTTGGGTTCATTGAGAAAATTGATTTCTCTTAGCTCTATCCTATTTGATGCGCCATAATACTATAAGCTCGAGCTCGAGCACAATACCCTAACTTGACATGTTCCAATTATGTTAGTTCCAAGCTCGGGTTTCATGTTGTGGTCGGGTTACTGTTGAGGTCGAGCTTCAAGCACTTTCGTCCGGTCTCTTTAAACCTTATCTCACATCTTTTAGAAGTAGTAATCATATTTTGACTATAACTCCCCACTTTTCCTATCTAAATACAAACTGCCAACATATTACAAATTTGACTCTAACTCAAACTGCGCATTTCTAACATAACACAAACACCTTGTATGACAAGGATAATGACTGCAGGAAGTTGGATCCTTTTAGGACTCCATCTCCAACACATGTAAATACATGACCCAGCCTCATTATTCAAAGACGTTTTACATAATATTTCAGCATACAACTTTTCACACAATTTCCCTCTATGACTTAAGTATCGGAGGGGCGACGAAGACACACCTCGACGTCTTTGTTTCAGGGATTGCACGGAGATCAATCATCTGGTTCGAGTTCATTCAAGTACAAGTTTTTGGTAGCATCATTGGCGGCGATGAGAACGCTACCAAAAGCCAAGGTTAACACACGTTCAGAACATCTTTTAGCAAGCTCATCCACTCCTAACCAGCCCCCTATAGAAGATCTTCCGGTTTCCCATGAGGTATCGTTAGGAGAACCACCACATCCACCAGCCTAAGTCACTCCTGAAGCGTTTGAGGAACTCCGTCAACAAGTGGCCACCCTAACTCGACATCTAATTAGAGAAGTACACCCCAGCACCATCGTCGTAAAGTGGTCTTACGATAGATGCTTGGGCTCCCAGCCCCAACACGGTGATGTCGAAACCTCGGGCGTACCACATGGCCTTTAGGTTCGAGATTAATTACGATGGACTCTGCTGATCTTGCCAGGGTTATTCAGAAGGGAATCATGGCCGGAATGCTTCAGAAGTCTCAGGCAGTAACATGGTTCATCCTTAATACACATTTTACCCCGAAAGTCTTATCATACCCTCTACTGGACTGGTTTAAGTATCCTAGGGTGAAAGAGCATGATGGGACAATCAACCCCATCAACCATCTCAACATATACACGGATATCATGAACTTGAAAGTCATACCCAATACAGTAATGTGCAAAGCCTTTCCTCAGACATTTACTAACTCAGATAGGGATTGGTTCTCCACACTGGAAACCAACTCCATATCTTCCTTTTCAGACTTGGCCGACAAATTCTCCGCTTTCTTTGCAAGTAGTAAGTGCATCAGGAAGACAGCTACATCACTCATGCAGATGAGTCAAGGACCTAGCAAAATACTTCGCAATTTCATGACAAGGTTTAATAAGGAAAGACTAATGATCGCCGATATAAATATCACATGAGCAGTCTCTTCCCTTAATTATGACGTAAGATATGAGGCATTTAAGATGTTAGCTAGCTGACAAGTTCTCCGCGTTCTTTGTAAGTAGTAAGCGTATCTGAAAGATAGTCACAACACTTGTGTAGATGTTCTAGGGACCCAACGAGACACTTCTCAATTTCATGACAAGGTTTAATAAGGAAAGACTTCTGATCCCTGATCTGCATATCACAACCACAGTCTCTGCTATAATATATGATGTAAAATGTGAGGCTTTTAAGATGTCTTTGTCAAAGACACCTCCCAAGTCAATAACCGACCTACTTGCCCGGGCTGAAAAATGCATCAACATTGAAGAAACCATGTTCCCAAGGAGAGATGCATCGCTATTAAAGAAGCCTAAGCTTAAGAAGTTGTATGAGTCTAACCAGCGTCCAGATCCTTTTCGAAGCAAGCCAAGGTAAGACCCCCCTTCCAACGTCCTTCACTCTGAACACTACGAGATCTAACATTTTGATAGAAATTAAAGATCTTAAAGAACTGAAATGACCTCTAAGGCTGCGAGCTCCACCGAACACCCTTGATAGGAGCAAGTACTGTGATTTTCATCGAGATCATGGGCACATGACTGAAGGTTGCTTCATCCTGAAGCAAGAAATTGAAGCCCTCATCAAGTGGGGATTTCTGGGTACTTATGTCAGCCATGACAAGCATCAGAGGAACAACCAAGGCAATGACAAAGCTCTGGAAGATCAGGGGAACAAACAGCTAACAACAGACACCATTAATATCATTATCGGAGGGACGACCTCGGGAGGGACTCCAACAACGGGCGTAAGTAGTAGGTCAGGTAGTACCCCTCGATCTCAAGCATGGATCTTGGTAATGTAGAAGACATCACTTTCAGATCAAAGGACTTATAAGGCGTGTCTTTTCCTGTTGACAGCGCCTTGGTTATATCAGATATAATTGCTAATTTTGAGGTGAGGAAAATTCTGGTGAATGATGGAACTGCAACTAATGTGCTGTTACATGAGGCTTTCGTTCAGATGGGTATTTCACTTGAGCAGCTCAAGCCAGTCAAAACCCCCCTTCAGGTGTTCGAAGGTGGTGTCATCATTCCAAAAGGCATTGTCAGGTTACCTTTCACCTTGGGATTAGAAAGGAAGTAGGTAACGTAGATTACAACCTTTCAAGTAGTTCGTACTCCTATGGCCTAAAACGCCATACTTGGAAGGCCCTTGCTTAATAGGATTAAGACAATTGTCTCAACCTTTCACCTGGCAATGAAATTTCCTACAAGTAATGGGGTCGGGGTAGTTCGAGGAAACCAAACAGTAGACAAACAATGCTATGTTACTAGATTTTGGGAGATCAAGGCTGATAGCATTCAACTCTCAAGCTTGACCTCGAGAATCATGGGAAACTTGCCCCAGTGGTCGTTAAGAACAAGCAAGTGGATTGTCATATCTCTGACCTTGAAGAGGTCTTCGCTACACTGCGGAGGTACAAGATAAAGCTGAATCCTACGAAATATGCATTTGGAGTGGCTTCAGACAAGTTCTTAGGATTCATGATCACACATAGATGAATAGAGGCCAACCCTGATAAGATCCAAGCTTTGATATCTATGGAACTCCAAAGTTGCAAGAAGGACATTCAGAAATTAACAGGTCGGGTTGCAGCCTTGAATATGTTTGTACCCTGAGTATCAGACACATGTTTCCTATTTTTCAAAGTTCTAAGGGGTAACTGGGGCTTCAATTGGAATGAAGAATGTAATTTAGCCTTTCAAGAGATGAAGCGGACGTTGGCAACACCTCTGGTTCTCACCAAGCCAAAACCTGGTGATACATTATTATTATACTTGGTCGTTTCTGAGAATGCAGTAAGTGGGGTATTGGTAAAGGAAGTTGGAAAGGTCCAACGACCTATTTACTATGTAAGGTACTTCATGATGCAAAAACTCGGTATACATTGGTTGAACAACTTGTACTTGCCTTAGTTATAGTTTCCAGGAAGGTACGCTAATATTTTCAATCTCATCCAATTGGTGTGCTCATTGATCAACCATTTAGACACGTACTTCAGAAACCAGACGTCTCAGAAAGACTACTGAAATGGGCGATTGAACTTGGTGAGTTTGATTTAGAGTTCAAGTCGCAGCCCTCAATTAAGGCACAAGTTTCAGCTGACTTCATTGCAGAATTTACCCCTAGGCCTCGAGGGCCACAGGAGAAGGACCCGAGCAAGACCTTAGAAACTTGGGAAATCTTTGTAGATTGAGCATTGAACAGTTTGAGATCGGATGCTGGGGTTATCATCACTAACCCGAATAAGACTACCGAGATCCAATGCGCGCTCAGGTTCAAATTTGAAGCCACCAACAATGAAGCAGAGTATGAAGCTGTCATCCTAGCTCTAGAATTGGCACACAACCTTGAACTTGAGCACATCAAAGTTTTCAGTGACTTACTACTAGTGGTCGACCGGATCAAGGGTGCATTTGAGAGAAAAGATGAGAAAATGAGTCTGTGCTGCTTAAAGGTGCGCGACCTTCGGAGAGGATTCAAGAGTTGTGAAATCCTTAAAATTGTAAAAGCTGACAATTCGAAAGCCGATGCATTATCTAGGCTCATGTTCATGAGAATAGATGGGCTTGACAGAACGATACACATCAAGATGGTGACAGAACCAAGCATAAAATAGAAGCCAAGCGTCATGGACAATGATCACGAACCTTCTAGATGTATCCGATAATCGAGTTCATAAATAGTGGGCATTTGCCGATGGACCCCTAGGCTGTATAAAACATTAAGTCCCAGGCGACAAGGTATTACATCATCAGAGGAGTCTTAATTCGAAAAAGTATTACTCTTCCCTACCTCAGATGTCTTAGACCTTCCGAATCTTTCCAAGCATTGGCTGAGGTTCACGAAGGTGTTGTGTGAGAATCACCAAAGTACTTGAGCTCTTGCCTATAAACTTATAAGGTATGGATATTATTGGCCTAGAATGAAGAAAGATGCAACAAATTACATAACGAAGCGTAACAAGTTCCAGAGATTCGGAAATATCATACATACCCCAGCGGAAGAGCTGACTCCTATCCACTTTTTGGCTTCTTTCGAGCAATTTGGAATTGACATCTTTGGACCTTTCCCTTCGGCAAGAGGTCAACTAAAATTCGTTGCTTTAGTAGTGGAGTACTTCACTAAATGGGTAGAAGTAGAACCCTTGACGGTAATCTCAGAGCCCAAGCTCAGATTATTCGTGTGGAAGTCCATTATGTGTATGTTTAGAATACCAAAGGTGCTAATAATGGACAATGGAAGGCAATTTGATAATTCGCAATTTAGAAACTTTTGTGCCAACTTTGGGATTAAACATTGTCTGACTTTAGTCTCACACCCTCAGAGTAACGGTCTCACCGAAATAACTAATCGAATCATATTACAAGACCTTCGAACAAGATCGGGGGTGCTAGGGATAGTTAGCCAGAGGAATTGACCACCATACTCTGGTCGTACAAGACTTTCCATAAGACACTTTTCATGTTAGCTTTTGGCGTGGAGGCCACAATATCAATTGAGTTCGGCCTTCCAACACAGAGGAGGGTCGAACCCCACATTTAGGGGTAAATGACCGAGCATCATGACTTACTTGAAGAAGTAAGAGAACAAGCCTCGTTGAGGGCCACAAGTTACCAAAACAAAACAAAAAGGCACTTCAACACCAAGGTCAAGACAAGGAGATTCAAAGTTGGTGATTTAGTCCTTAGGAGGGCTGAATCTACTAGGCATCCTTCAAGGAAACTAGGATTGGTATGGGAAGGACCTTTCAAAGTCATACGAAAAGTAAGAGGCGGTGCATATAGCCTGAAGGATACCTCAAGAAGACCACTCACAAGGACTTGGAATGCTGACAACTTGAAAATTTATTACAAGTAGCTGGTTACGCACCCAGGTGTCTAGGTTGTTTAGTTTTCTATTTCGTACTTCAGGTAGTTTTTTTTTTTCACCTCTTCATTTTTATTTTTAAATCTAGTTCGGGGCTTGCATGCCTTCAAACAGTTTATTTTTTTAGTTATGGCATATATACCCTTGTACTATTTCGCTATTTGAAACTCGTTTCGACAATAAGAACTTGTCCCAAACACATCAAATTAGCG